CCATATACATTTTCTCTCTTCCGTCTCCATTTGGTTTTTTGATTTGAGCGTTGGGATTTTTTTGGTAATATTTCTCTGAGGAATTATAGATCAAATAAATCATCATTTCGAGCTGTCAGTCAAAATGATTTCACATAAACTGATTTGATTTTCTAGTGAAGTTTTTCTACTAGGGGTTTTCTTTTTGTCATTTCATTTTCAATTCTTCCTTTTTTTAGCATTATCGGTATTGGCCAACCAGTAGGGAAGTATGGTGACCAAAAGTAGTCAGCAGTTCCAGGTTCCATCAACATTTAATCATGCTCAAAATGTATTTATGAGCACTCTTAAAAAGCTACAATCATTACACTATTTTTCCTTCACACACACCTGTGACAGTTACAGATGTAAGGAAAACAATCGTGGGAAATTTCAGGGTCACAAAAGTAATCTAAAACCTAAGATACTGACGAAAAACCATCTTCCCCTGCTTCTTACCTCACAGTCAGAAGTCACTAGTAGTTTCTAAAGTTTCCCCTTTAATCCACAGATTACCCTCCAAAACTTTGTGCTTGAAAAAAAAAAACCAAAAATGTTATTTCAACACAACATTCCTACTTTTGGCAGATGTTCTGAAGCATTATCAGTCAAGTTCACATACGCCAAAAGGAATCCGGCAGGACTGACATCTGAATTACGCTCATCAAGACTAAAATAGTAAGCCATCGCATGACACGGCACACGGATGCTCTTAACTTCATCGTTACTATATCTTCAGATTTACATGTAAAAATAGCTTGGCAAGCTTATGTCAAGTCTGCAACTTCACCTTTTTAGTTGCAAAACAGTGGAAATAACCCTGAACAAATAATGGGGAAAAAACTGCTAGTGCAAGAAGCTTGCCAGCCCTATGAAAATTAAGTCTCCAAGCCTTAAGGTTTTGAAATGTCACACCTTCTTAGTACTGAAAAAGTCTATTTAAAGCCACAAATAAAGCCAAATACTGTCTAATAAGTGTTTGTTATCAACTAAGAGCTCCAAAGTTTTATGAGTGGGAAATTAAACTATTGGATGTATTTTAAAGAGGAAGAAAAACAGGTCTTTTAAACGCTTTTTAAAACATTCAGCCAAGTAGCTCTAGAGAACATGCAAGAAAGCAATAGATTATTTCAACAGCAACTTAGCTGTTGATAGCTGACAATCTGTTAAAAAAAAAATAAGCAAGCCATCAGTTTAGAGACTTAATCCTGTAGCCAGGACATGTTCTACACAGCACAGAAAAATTTCTGCATAAGCAATTCAACTTTTAGACCGCTTCAGTAACATACAGTTCATCTTCTCTAAAGAAGCATCCCAGTAATCTCTGGCTAGGAGACAATCACCTCGTCCCACAGAACTCTTGCACTGTAACAACTAATGCAGTTGTTATTCAGCTTGACACAGGACCAAACCTGTCCTCTCCACAAAATTCACGTGAGCACAATAGCTCTCAGTAAACTGAAACAGTAACAGGTTCACCATCAGAACAAGGAATGATGGTGAACTACTCTTCCTCCTCCAAAATAAGCCATACCTCCGTGAAGACCCACCCTTCTGTCTTTCCCATAGTTGCCTTTCTTTAGGGACAGCTAGAACATATGCAATTTAACACGGTTCTCTTTCAACACATGCATGTGTTTAAGCTTAAATTAGTAATAATCATCTTTTCAGAAAGCTACATCATTGCCAGAGGGGGGAGACTATTACATGCAAGAGCAGAGTCTTAGAGCAGCAGTGCCTCAACTCCCTCCCTGAAAAAGCATTTCTCAGGTACTATACAGCCGCTTTATGGTGGCACGGCTTGCAGGTTCTTCAGTATTTTTATCACATGAACCTCCAGAGACTACCTCCTCTAACTTGTTCCTCCTTCCTTGAAGAGGGAAAGGACACTGTGTATCCTATAATAAAATATCCTTGCCAGCCATTCACTACTGCATTGGGAATACAACAGCAGGATGATGGTTTTCGATGTGCTCTTGCCCAAGTCCACTTTTTATCCTCATCTTCCACTGTTGTTAAAATGACAGTACAGGCACTATATAAATAAAAAAAATGAGTAAAATCCTGCTCTGATTTAGTTTCCAACTGCTACACCGCTTGCTTTGTTTTCCACAGGAAAAAGCACGGGGCGGGGGGGGGGAAGGAGGGGGATGTCTTGGGGGGGGGGTGTGGTGCTGGTGTTCTACGCGTGGTCACGTC